CACACACACACACACACACACACACACACACACACACACACACACACCCCTCACATTTCTATACTGCTTTAAAAGTTACAAAGTCCTTTCCTCACAATCCTGTACGGTGGGTAGTATCTGTATTATTATCCCCATTTTACAGATGAAGTAACATAAAGACTATGTCACAAGACTCAAAACCTTACCTGCTTGTTGGGACCTGCCAGAGATTACACTTAGTTGGCAAAGCCTCCAAGAGTCCAGGGTCACCTTCATACCATGATTGCAAGATTGTAGATTTAGAGCAGGAAAGGATCATAGGCATCCTCTAGTATGACCTCCTAACCTTACAAATGAGGATACTAAAACACAGAGAGGTCAATTGACTTGTCTAAGGTCACATAGCTAGGGTTAGAACTAGGATGCACACATGTGCATATATGTGTGTGTGTGTATGTACATATACATACATATATGTGTGTATACATGAGTATGTATTGTATATCTATGTCTATCTATTTCTATCTATCTAATTCATCTTCGTATTGCCAAAAGTCATAGAGTGAGATGGTGGAAAAGCTGGGAGCTGAAGCCCAGGTCTCCCAAATTCCAAGGGTTCTTTCCAAGTTGTCTCCTGGCTGGTTGGAAAAGGGTAGCTCTCCTGCTGTATCACAGGCTGACTGCATGGGGGATGTAATTGGCAGGGTGTGTGTGTACCCTTCCTCTCTCCTTCCTCTGTCATTTGTGGTTCCTGTATTTGGACTCATCCCAAAGGAAAAGCACAAACTTTCAAATATTTCTACAAGCGTCTTTCATCTAGGTGTTATTCTTCCCTGCCTACCCACTCATGGTGTGGCTGGGGCTAAAACTCTCAATGGTTTTCTCATTAACCTCACTGTAGCCACACCCCATTCAGAAAAATTATCTTAAGCTTCTTAGTAATATTTCTTCCTCTGATTTTACAGTCCTTCTCACCTAGAGGGAAGTAGCAAGAGTTCAAAACAATTGTACCCATTTTTCAGAGGGGAGGTTGAGGCACAAAGCAATTGAGTGATATGCTCAAGTCAGTTCGCAACAGAGCCAGGACCAGACCCCCACATTCTGATTCTAGCTTGATGTTATTTCCATTAGACCGGTTTCTCCTTCATTCACTGCATTTGATATACACAAACATATGATTTTTCTCCTGGAAATTTATGAAATAAAGACATACTAATAATGCTTAAATTCTTTAAGAAGTCATGATTTTATTGTTGTGGATTCTTTTTCTACCAATCAGATCCTACCCCCTCCACACTTTAGTAGACTGTCTTTATTTATTGCTGTGGCTGAAACAAATTCCTTAGCTACCAAGCCATCCCTCTGAGGATGAGCATTGCTGTACTTTACTAGCTTAGTTTTTTGGACAAAACATACAAAATGTCACAAAGTTTATAGTCAAAGCCTTTCCAGCTTGGTGGGAATTTTCAATACTCCTATCCTCCAGACATAGCTTTTAAGACCTTAGCACATAGTTGTTGTTCAATTGTTTCACTCATGTCTGACTTTTTGGGACCCCATTTGGGGTTTTCTTGGCAAAGATAATGGAGGTTTTTCATTTCTTTCTCCAGCTCATTTGATGGATGAGGAAACAGAGACAAATAGGGTTAAGGGACTTGACCAGGGTCACACAGCTAGTAAGTGTCTGAGGCCAGATTTGAACTCAGGTTATCTCTAACTTCAGACTCAAAGCTCTATTCACAACTGTGCCATCTAGCTGCACATAATAGGCACTTAATAAGTGTTTACTGATTGATTGATTAAGACCCAGGGTCACTTCTATGCTAAAATAAGAAAGAGGATATTAGCTGAGGAAAAATTATTCATCATAATTTATGTTTCTGTAGTGCTGTCAAGTTTATAGAGTACTTTATTCCCAACAATTTTTTGGGAAATGGATAAAGGTGAAGACATTTATTTTGGTAATCTTCATCTCTTACAGAAGGTTAAACAATGTGCAACAGTCACTACAACAAGGAGGCCAGAAATTTCCTCATCTAGGAAAATACTTAATCTTCTTGCACATGGAAGCAAATGGCAGTAAATGGCAACACCATTTTATAGTAAAACATCACAAAGAAGGATGGTGGAACATCATGAAGTATATTGCTTCACAAAGCAGAAGGAAAAAAGAAGAGCAGTGGATGGGAAAATAAGGCTGTGGAAAGCTTAGCATGAGGCACAAGGAAGCCGAATTATTCTGGTACCATTTATCAGTGAAACTGGGAAGAAGATGATAGATTTAAATTAGAGCCCCTCCCAGATTAAGCTCATCGACACTGTACCTTTCAGCTTCCGCTCCTTATCAGATTGGAGGGCTGGAGGGTGGAAACTGGCCTCTCCAGTCACTCCACTCTGTATTTGCTGTTCTAACTGGTTTTAACTCCAAGCAAGGAGATACTCCCTGCTTCCTCACCCTCCTTTCCTGCCTCCTTTTGTATGTTGTCTCACCCCATTAGATTGTAAGTGCCTTGAGGGCAGGAATTGTCTTTTTTTTATTAATTGTATCCCCAGTGTCTGTTACTTAAGGAAAATTTATTGGGTTGGATCAGATATAAAATGAAATGGATTTGCTGGTGTTTCTGTATCCATTTATTCTCATTGTTGATGACATTAACCACCATAGTTGGAAATTAACATCTCAGTACTACAGTATAGGTACACTATATGAGGAATTAGAAATGTCACTTAAAAAGGTAAAGTCAGGAAGAATGACTGGACCAGGTAGATGGATGAAATCTGTGCAGAAGGTGACATCAATCAATCAATCAATCAATAAACAATCAGACTAAGGAGTTGATTCTCAAGATATCTCAAAATAGAGAAGATACTAAAAGGATGGAAAAATAATAGATGATGGTATTATTTTTTAAAAAAGCAAACAAACAAGAAGGCATCAGAAACTATGAATACATACTCTGACTTTCTCATATCTATATGTAGCAGAAGTTGGATTGGCATGCTTCCCATGGATAGAGATGAATCACCAGAGGCTCCTGGTTGCTCTCTTGTTCTCCATGATGTATATGTGTGTGTGTGTGTGTGTGTGTGTGTGTGTGTGTGTGTGTGTATGGAAGGAGGGGAGGATTGATGACTGAACCAGGAAGAGCTGCCAACTCTGTGGGCCATAAGAAGGTAGAAGGGATGGCTTATGGTTGTTGTTGTTTTGAGGCATTCTCTTTGTTAGGGCACAGCCAATGCCAATTCTTTCTTGGACTTCATACTATTGGTAAGGGATAGGGTGCATGTGTGGGGTTTCTTTCCTCTTTTCTCCTCCTTTTCCTCTCAACAACTGTGGCAACTAGAACACTATACCTGGGGTCAGGAGGCTCTGAGTTCAGTTTTTGCCTTACTAGCCATGTGATCCCAGGCCCCATGAACACATGATGATGAGAACACGTACTTGCCCAGGTGAGCCCAAGACTGTACCTTGACTTCTGGCTTGCCAATTCTGTTTTATGT